AACCTACTTGAGCAGGTCTCCCTTGAAAAAGAGATCAATGATCTCAATGGGATACAACCTGGATAAATAAAGGTGTGAAATGAAATGAAATGAATTACACTTGGCACCTTTCTGGTTGGATGGGGAGTACAATATCATGAAAGACATAGATCCATTAGTTCACTCATAGAAAATGCCCACATCACTAACAAAACACCAGCCGTGTTTCAGAGACTTTCACTTATCCCCAGAGCCAAAAGATCAGCTGAGCAACAAGAGGAGGAGTTAGAAATACTCGTTCCCAAAGGTGAGGAGGTTACAATCAAGATGATCACCCCCCCTATATGCAGTTCTTGTATCAAATGATGAGATGGGTTTAAGTGATCGAGATATGCAAGTGATGGGGATTTACAAATTAGGGGAATCTCCAAATACACTGGATCCATGTTTTAGTCTGTACCAGAAACACCCCCTGTTAAGACTATGGACAACCGACTGGTGACTTGAGCACAATTATTGTAAAGTTATTACAGTAGAAACAGGGTACTAACCCACGAGGACAGCTGTGTATGTACAAACTCTATGAACAAAATTCCCCAACAGATTGTGGCAACATTGCACAGATGTATCCAGTCACAAAAGTCACTAATGTTCTAAATAACAGTGAGATTTAAGATATTTGGCAATATATGGGGACGTTCTTTTATAGTGTGTGAAATATGTGGTGCTTGAAACATGTAAGTATTTCAATTTATAGAAGAAAATGGTTTCCTGAAAGTAGATGTGTTACAGTGGGTGAAAACAATGTTTAGGGATATAGATATAAAATTATTAGTAGACATTAATTGTGTTTAGATGGCATTTAACAACTAAAACAGATATTATGATTAGAAAATAGAGTGGAGAAGGTTGGATTTATTTTACCTCAGTGTGTTAGAATTTTCTATAGGTAATGCGTCCCAAGACCTGGACTCTCTCTCTCTGCCTGTCAGACTGCTACGACCCCTATCAGACAAAAGACCTCACTACAGGAGACTCCTCCTCCTGCTCCATCGAACAGACAGAGAACCAGAGCTGAACTAACAACGACAAGACTGCATCCAGAACCATCTCCACCTGAGGCATCCAGAACCAGAACAGCATGCTGACATAAAGAGGCATACTCTCATCAGTCCCTAACCCAGGACATGGAGTTCCAAGCTGAGCCACGAGATTTGGCACAAGAGCAAGAACAAGAGTGTGGGAGACGAGAGCAGAATACGCCCTCCATACAACAGCGAAGAGACTGTAAAGGAGGAGATGAAATGCAAAGCAGTTGGGCCACTGAAAAGAGTAACAGCGGAAGGATTCAAGAGCTGATGGACTGAGGAGAAGACAGAACCTGAGGAGAAGACGGAATCAGAGGAGAAGACAGAACCTGAGGAGAAGACAGAACCTGAGGAGAAGACAGAACCTGAGGAGAAGGCAGAACCTGAGGAGAAGACAGAACCTGAGGAGAAGACAGAACCTGAGGAGAAGACAGAATCAGAGGAGAAGACAGAACCTGAGGAGAAGGCAGAACCTGAGGAGAAGACAGAACCTGAGGAGAAGACAGAACCTGAGGAGAAGACAGAACCTGAGGAGAAGACAGAACCTGAGGAGAAGACAGAATCAGAGGAGAAGACAGAACCTGAGGAGAAGGCAGAACTGAGGAGAAGACAGAACCTGAGGAGAAGACAGAACCTGAGGAGAAGACAGAACCTGAGGAGAAGACAGAACCTGAGGAGAAGACAGAATCAGAGGAGAAGACAGAACCTGAGGAGAAGACAGAATCAGAGGAGAAGACAGAACCTGAGGAGAAGACAGAATCAGAGGAGAAGACAGAACCTGAGGAGAAGACAGAACCTGAGGAGAAGACAGAACCTGAGGAGAAGACAGAACCTGAGGAGAAGACAGAATCAGAGGAGAAGACAGAATCAGAGGAGAAGACAGAATCAGAGGAGAAGACAGAACCTGAGGAGAAGACAGAATCAGAGGAGAAGACAGAATCAGAGGAGAAGACAGAACCTGAGGAGAAGACAGAACCTGAGGAGAAGCACACACTTATTCACAAACGCACATAAAAAGGACCACATTTAAAGAACTTGAATTGACTTGAAAATACGTAAAGAAAAAAAAAGATTTATTAGCCATGAATTAATCAATTGGTAAATTAAAATAGTAATAAAGAGGAAACTATTCAAGTAAAATGAGGTAATAATCCTAAAACACACTGAGGGTACTGTGGGATAAAGGGGTAGACATGATGGAAATATTCACCACACTTTAAGCAGTGGGTGTTTTGGACTTAGGAGTACAGAGTAGAACATATTCTTCAATCTTTTCATCATGTTGACAAATTATTCTTTAAGTGATTCTTATTCATGTGCGAATTTGGTAGAGATTTAATTTGTTACAATATTGATCTACAGTTTAAAGGGATAGTTTTAGTAACCACTCTATAAGAGCAGACAAATCTGTGTTTGTATGGAAAATGTTAAAGGGAGAGCTAGTGCCAAGCCAAATATAGTATCCCAATCTAAAGTATTGTTTTTCGCCATTGTAGCATAGTTATTACCATAGGAGAACTGTTAAGGTGGAAATAACATTTGTTTGTCGTCCAAGATGTAGAGTTTAAAAAAGACACTGGGCAAAGAGCGATTGCAAATCTAATTGTGGAAAAAGCAATATAATTGGGAGTAATACTTGCGGGGCCTTGGATCACTCATCGTAATGGTGCATATTTTTGACAACCAATATCGTTTAGGGAGAAGGGGTCACTCAACCCACCCAGCAGTTGTTTTAAACAACGGCACCAGATTATGAGTTTAAAAGACAAGCGTCACCACCTCCTGATGGTCATCCATTTAATCAGGGATGACCTGAAATTTAGAGATGTTATTTCAAGTAGAAACATATCTGCCATAAGTGAAAATTCCTAAATTGAACTACAAACCATTGATGAAATGACTTCTGTTCTAAGTCCTTGATAAAGGAGGTAGTAATTGTTACATGTTCGGACACCCAAGGTTCCACACACTGTTAAAGGGGGTACATTGTTCTTTGAGTAGACCAGAATTGAAGAGAAATTAGTATAATGAGTTATATGAGATATTCCACCTGTTTTCACACCATTTCAAGGACTTTATCACTGCATTATAAAAGACCACCCAAAAGGTACTGAAGTAGGAACTTTTAAGTGATGAAATTCTCTAATTGTTGTAACTGACCAAAATCTTCTCCCAGAAATAACTATGTCTGAAATGTCGTATCCCAGAGTAGATGTTGGGTGGTATCGTGGAACTAAAACCTTGTGCTCAGTCTTGCCACAGGATTGGACTGGGACCTGTGCACTTGTACAGCCAGTGATGTTTTATATGCAGTACCAATGACAGTGGATCAGTTAATCAACATGGCGAAACACCCCAAAACCAGTAGGGCTAAGAGACCAGTCCCAGGAGGGAGTTTAGGCTCCACAGTGTACAAGGATAGCATAGGGGTGCCCAGGGGAGTGCTAGATGTTGTTGTTGTTGTTGCATTCCATGTACCCGCACCCTAACGTACCGATTGATCACCACGGCACTTTCTAGAGAACATATTACTTACATACCTTAAAAGGTATGAAAGGAGGGAGGGTACATTACTCATGAGGAAACAGTTACAAATGCTAGCAGAACAAGATGACCCACCCCCATATACACATATTGATGTGAATGATGAGATTGTTTAAATGATGTTAAATGATATGGATGTTCAAAGATGAGATTGTTCAAAGAATGTCCAAATGATGTGATACTTCAAATGATGAAATCATTTGAATGAAGAACCAGCTACAATGCTAATATGGAGTGAATCCAATGCAATTTACTTATACTATTCCAAGATAGTGTATTCTTTATTACTTTATATTATTCTAAAATAGTTTGTTTCTTTTATACTTTGTAAAAACAAGTGCCTTAACACTGAATGTAGTATGAGAACGATTTCTGTGAAAGGAGGGAGTAAGAAATGTTCTGATACCAAGCTAATTGCTGCTATTTTGAAGAGCGATATTGAATGTTAAAACTAGAAGTTAGGCACAAAGAAAAACTTTTATGTTCCAGACCAACCAAAGTATTTCTTTTGTATTTTCGTATTTTTGATGACGGTTATTGAACCATTCCATTTTGATTGTATGTTTTTGATATGAGTTATGTACTATGCAAAGTTCAGATGACGAACTCATTAATTTCAGTATTATTTACATACCTTAAAAGGTATGTAAGGAGGGATTGTAAGAAATGAAAATCAATGTTTAATGACGTAATTTAGTTTAAACATACAGTAAGCTAAAAACCGTTTTATTGTGAAAACATTTCCGGTTAGCATTCGTCTGTGGCTAACGTTGATGCTAAAGTTTATTTTGAAAAGCTTTCCCGGAAGAAGTCTCCGGATATCAACAGTGAGCTTAACTTCCGGTTTTGTGTTAACAAACGATTGCAGCCGTTAAAATGCATTAAATAAAAAGTCATGAAAGAGAATAAGAGGAGAAAAGGCGTGTGGAGTTATGCAATGAATATACAACGTCTAAATCCTCTGTTATGCGCGATATCGGACATAGAAGACCGAGGCGGGAGGACTCCCTGCGTCGCCAGCCGCCATTGAAGAGGAGGAGCCAAAAGATGAGATATATAGATAGGTGACGGAGCTTTGTTCGCTCTCTTTCCAAGGCCGCGACTACGAGAGAACAGCTGCAGCTGCTCTCTCAACTACCTTCTGTTTGTTTCATTACCACGCTATTTAATTAAAGTAACCAATTTGACCCTTTTCAGAGACTCCATTGGTCTCCTTATTTTAGGCTTCTTCCTGGACGCGAGAGAAACGAATACTTCTAAGAGAAGCGAAGAAATTTGTCCTCCTGTTTGTATGCCGTCTGGACCAATGACTAAAGCTCATCTGATTCAACTACGATCTCCGCTCTTTGGAAACAAAGAGAGGCGCGTCAAAACGCCACCACAACCTACCTTCATCTCCAGGTGAATGGGACAGGTGAGACACCTGTACCCACAATCCTTCAGGGCTGCCAGAGTGTCCAGACAGCCACGTCTCTGCGGCTCCGACAGACTTCCTGTTTCACCTGTGATGTAATCCCTGAGGACCAATGAGCAGCAAGACAGGGAAAACACATATTAAAAAATTACAGGTGAGTCTGACAGGTGAGTCTGACAGGTGAGTGTGACAGGTGTGTGTGACAGGTATGTGTGACAGGTGAGTCTGACAGGTGAGTCTGACAGGTGAGTGTGACAGGTGAGTGTGACAGGTGAGTCTGACAGGTGAGTCTGACAGGTGAGTGTGACAGGCGTGTGTGACAGGCGTGTGTCAGGTGTGTGTGACAGGTGAGTCTGACAGGTGAGTGTGACAGGTGAGTGTGACAGGTGTGTGTGACAGGTGAGTGTGACAGGTGAGTGTGACAGGTGAGTGTGACAGGTGTGTGTGTGACAGGTGAGTGTGACAGGTGTGTGTGACAGGTGAGTCTGACAGGTGAGTGTGACAGGTGAGTGTGACAGGCGTGTGTGACAGGCGTGTGTGACAGGTGTGTGTGACAGGTGAGTCTGACAGGTGAGTGTGACGTGTGACAGGTGTGTGTGACAGGTGAGTGTGACAGGTGAGTGTGACAGGTGAGTGTGACAGGTGAGTCTGACAGGTGTGTGTGTGACAGGTGAGTCTGACAGGTGAGTGTGACAGGTGAGTGTGATAGGTGTGTGTGACAGGTGTGTGTGTGACAGGTGCGTGTGACAGGTGAGTGTAACAGGTGTGTGTGACAGGTGAGTGTTGGTGAGTGTGACAGGTGTGTGTGACAGGTGAGTCTGACAGGTGTGTGTGTGTGACAGGTGAGTGTGACAGGTGAGTGTGACAGGTGTGTGTGTGTGACAGGTGAGTGTGACAGCTGAGTGTGACAGGTGAGTGTGACAGGTGTGTGTGTGTGTGTGACAGGTGAGTGTGACAGGTATCATTACCTGAGCTGCTGCTCACAGACCAGCTGAGCTTTGATCACAGCGAGGCCGTTGCCGTGCTTCCCTTTCACAAAAGCCTCCATACACTTCCTGTAGCTGAAACACAAACAGGGTTTCAATGCAGCATAAACACCTGGATCAACACCTGGACCAACCCCTGGATCAACACTTGAACGCATCATGAGCCAGTGGGCGGAGCTACCTGCTGAGGAAGTTCTCCAGGTGAGCTGTGAGCCTCTGAGCTTTCCTCTGGTCTCCGAGCACACAGCTGCATTCAGTCAGGGAGCTGTCTAACACCTGGAAACAAAACCACTGAGATCCAGATACACCTGCTGCTAACCTGTCCACATCACTATATGTATCTCACCTGTAATGTGTCTCACCTGTACTGTGTCTCTCCTGTGTCTCACCTGTACTGTGTCTCTCCTGTGTCTCACCTGTACTGTGTCTCACCTGTACTGTGTCTCACCTGTACTGTGTCTCACCTATGTCTCTCCTGTGTCTCACCTGTACTGTGTCTCACCTGTACTGTGTCTCACCTGTGTCACTCCTGTGTCTCACCTGTACTGTATCTTACCTGTACTGTGTCTCACCTGTACTGTGTCTCACCTGGACTGTGTCTCTCCTGTGTCTCACCTGTACTGTGTCTCTCCTGTGTCTCACCTGTACTGTGTCTCACCTGTACTGTGTCTCACCTGTGTCTCTCCTATGTCTCACCTGTACTGTGTCTCACCTGTACTGTGTCTCACCTGTGTCACTCCTGTGTCTCACCTGTACTGTATCTTACCTGTACTGTGTCTCACCTGTACTGTGTCTCACCTGTACTGTGTCTCACCTGTACTGTATCTCACCTGTGTATCACCTGTACTGTGTCTCACCTGTGTCTCACCTGTACTGTGTCTCACCTGTACAGTATCTCACCTGTACTGTGTCTCACCTGTACTGTGTCTCACCTGTACTGTGTCTCCCCTGTACTGTGTCTCACCTGTACTGTGTCTCACCTGTACTGTGTCTCACCTGTACTGTATCTCCCCTGTACTGTGTCTCCCCTGTACTGTGTCTCACCTGGCTCATCTGTGTCTCACCTGTACTGTATCTCACCTGTACTGTGTCTCACCTGTACTGTGTCTCACCTGTACTGTGTCTCCCCTGTACTGTATCTCACCTGTACTGTGTCTCACCTGTACTGTGTCTCACCTGTACTGTGTCTCACCTGTACTGTGTCTCACCTGTACTGTGTCTCACCTGGACTGTGTCTCACCTGGCTCATCTGTGTCTCACCTGTACTGTGTCTCACCTGTACTGTGTCTCACCTGTACTGTGTCTCACCTGGCTCATCTGTGTCTCACCTGTACTGTCTCACCTGTACTGTATCTCACCTGTACTGTGTCTCACCTGTGTTTCACCTGTACTGTGTCTTACCTGGCTCATCTGTGTCTCACCTGTACTGTGTCTCACCTGGCTCATCTGTGTCTCACCTGTACTGTGTCTCACCTGTACTGTGTCTCACCTGTACTGTGTCTCTCCTGTGTCTCACCTGTGCTGTGTCTCTCCTGTGTCTCACCTGTACTGTGTCTCACCTGTACTGTGTCTCACCTGTGTCTCTCCTGTGTCTCACCTGTACTGTGTCTCACCTGTACTGTGTCTCACCTGTGTCACTCCTGTGTCTCACCTGTACTGTATCTTACCTGTACTGTGTCTCACCTGTACTGTGTCTCACCTGTACTGTGTCTCACCTGTACTGTATCTCACCTGTGTATCACCTGTACTGTGTCTCACCTGTGTCTCACCTGTACTGTGTCTCACCTGTACAGTATCTCACCTGTACTGTGTCTCACCTGTACTGTGTCTCACCTGTACTGTGTCTCACCTGTACTGTGTCTCCCCTGTACTGTGTCTCCCCTGTACTGTGTCTCACCTGTACTGTGTCTCACCTGTACTGTGTCTCACCTGTACTGTGTCTCCCCTGTACTGTGTCTCCCCTGTACTGTGTCTCACCTGGCTCATCTGTGTCTCACCTGTACTGTATCTCACCTGTACTGTGTCTCACCTGTACTGTTTCTCACCTGTACTGTGTCTCCCCTGTACTGTATCTCACCTGTACTGTGTCTCACCTGTACTGTGTCTCACCTGTACTGTGTCTCACCTGTACTGTGTCTCACCTGTACTGTGTCTCACCTGTACTGTGTCTCTCCTGTGTCTCAACTGTGCTGTGTCTCTCCTGTGTCTCACCTGTACTGTGTCTCACCTGTACTGTGTCTCACCTGTGTCTCTCCTGTGTCTCACCTGTACTGTGTCTCACCTGTACTGTGTCTCACCTGTGTCACTCCTGTGTCTCACCTGTACTGTATCTTACCTGTACTGTGTCTCACCTGTACTGTGTCTCACCTGTACTGTGTCTCACCTGTACTGTATATCACCTGTGTATCACCTGTACTGTGTCTCACCTGTGTCTCACCTGTACTGTGTCTCACCTGTACAGTATCTCACCTGTACTGTGTCTCACCTGTACTGTGTCTCACCTGTACTGTGTCTCCCCTGTACTGTGTCTCACCTGTACTGTGTCTCACCTGTACTGTGTCTCACCTGTACTGTGTCTCCCCTGTACTGTGTCTCACCTGGCTCATCTGTGTCTCACCTGTACTGTATCTCACCTGTACTGTGTCTCACCTGTACTGTGTCTCACCTGTACTGTGTCTCCCCTGTACTGTATCTCACCTGTACTGTGTCTCACCTGTACTGTGTCTCACCTGTACTGTGTCTCACCTGTACTGTGTCTCACCTGTACTGTGTCTCACCTGTACTGTGTCTCACCTGTACTGTGTCTCACCTGGACTGTGTCTCACCTGTACTGTGTCTCACCTGTACTGTGTCTCACCTGGCTCATCTGTGTCTCACCTGTACTGTGTCTCACCTGTACTGTGTCTCACTTGTACTGTGTCTCACCTGGCTCATCTGTGTCTCACCTGTACTGTCTCACCTGTACTGTATCTCACCTGTACTGTGTCTCACCTGTGTTTCACCTGTACTGTGTCTTACCTGGCTCATCTGTGTCTCACCTGTACTGTGTCTCACCTGGCCCATCTGTGTCTCACCTGTACTGTGTCTCACCTGTACTGTGTCTCACCTGTACTGTGTCTCACCTGTACTGTGTCTCACCTGTACTGTGTCTCTCCTGTGTCTCACCTGTACTGTGTCTCACCTGTACTGTATCTCACCTGTGTCTCTCCTGTGTCTCACCTGTACTGTGTCTCACCTGTACTGTGTCTCACCTGTGTCACTCCTGTGTCTCACCTGTACTGTATCTTACCTGTACTGTGTCTCACCTGTACTGTGTCTCACCTGTACTGTGTCTCACCTGTACTGTATCTCACCTGTGTATCACCTGTACTGTGTCTCACCTGTGTCTCACCTGTACTGTGTCTCACCTGTACAGTATCTCGCCTGTACTGTGTCTCACCTGTACTGTGTCTCACCTGTACTGTGTCTCCCCTGTACTGTGTCTCACCTGTACTGTGTCTCACCTGTACTGTGTCTCACCTGTACTGTGTCTCCCCTGTACTGTGTCTCCCCTGTACTGTGTCTCACCTGGCTCATCTGTGTCTCACCTGTACTGTATCTCACCTGTACTGTGTCTCACCTGTACTGTGTCTCACCTGTACTGTGTCTCCCCTGTACTGTATCTCACCTGTACTGTGTCTCACCTGTACTGTGTCTCACCTGTACTGTGTCTCACCTGTACTGTGTCTCACCTGGACTGTGTCTCACCTGGCTCATCTGTGTCTCACCTGTACTGTGTCTCACCTGTACTGTGTCTCACCTGGCTCATCTGTGTCTCACCTGTACTGTGTCTCACCTGTACTGTGTCTCACCTGTACTGTGTCTCACCTGTACTGTGTCTCACCTGTACTGTGTCTCACCTGTACTGTGTCTCACCTGTATGACGTCTATAGCCAGTGGGCTGAAGCAGAAGTGGTCGATGCGCTCTGTCTCGCGGCCGCTCAGCCAGCTCTCCTCCTCCTTCCTGAGCGCCCTGTTCAGCCACAGCTTCACTTGGTCCTGGAGGAAAATGTTTGACTGAGAGCTGTTCCTCACCTGTGCGTTGTTTGCACACCTGTTTCAGAGCGAATAATCCGTGTTGTCATGTTTCCGTCAAAACGGAAATCTTGCTAATGCTAAAATCACAATACAAACAGTGAGCTGATGCTAATGCTAGCTGTTGTGCTAGCCCTGTGCATTAGCAGCAATGTGTTTGCTGTTCCTCCAGTCTGAAGGTGTTCACCTGTTTGTGGCTCAGGTACTGGTCCTCCAGCCGGTCCAGGTGCTCCTGCAGCAGCAGAGGACCCAGACAGGCTGGCTGAATCTTTCCTTTCAGTTCTTCATGGTTCAATATTTCCCTACAGGGGAAACAAACACACCTGAGACCTCACAGGGAACACTGAACCAGGTAAATGACACATTTAGAGGTTTTACAGCTCAGAGAAAAGTCAGTTTCACAGACTGATTTCTAAAGTTAAATTAAACCCCTGACGAGCACCAGAGACCAGCTCAATTAAACATCCCAAGATCGTAACTGTCATTGCTTTCATTATTTTTTTATTAATGTATCCTCATATTCTTCTCTTTTATGAGCTGCAATAATCAGTCGATTGAAATGTAAAACTTTCACCAAGGTCATTTAAACCCCCCCCAGTGTCGCTTCACTGACCTGTAGCTAGTGAAAGATGCTTTCCCAACATCTCAGATATCAAAGCTGGAATCACCTTAACACCAACCCCGACCTAAAGCTAGCAGGCTTAGCCACCAACACACACTCTTTCCACCTGGTTCTCCACAGCGACAGCACACACTCGCTCCCAGACACACACACACACCAGAGGTGGGGACTCGACTCACATGACTTGACTCGAGTCACATGACTTGACTCGAGTCACATGACTTGACTCGAGTCGCATATTTTTGGACTTGAGACTTGCTTGACTAACATTGATAAAAGACTTGACTTGACTTTGACTTGGTATTCATGACTTGAGACTTGACTTAAGCTTGAGACAGATGACTTGAAAGGACTTGTCTGTTTAAAATTAAATATTTGCGTTTGTTTTTGTAGTGAGATATTACGTTTAGTTTTTTCGAAACGTGATTGGGAGATTATAGCGCCGTGCGCGCAAACCTGGCAACCCACTAGACGGCAGGACCGTCAGTTAACATGGCAGCGGCTAGCGTTACTCCAAAAATAGTGAAGTTTGGATTCAAGGATTATGTTGTCGATGACGCTAATAAGAAGAGAACAGCGGTATGCAGGGTCTGCAGCATAAAGATCAGTGACAGGACCACCACAACATCCAACTTCATTCGTCACTACAAAAAAACCCACAGAAAAAGGTGCGTGAATGTGTTGTGTTAGCTAGAAAGCTAACGTTAAGTTTAAGCTACGTTAGACTTGGTTTCAAATCGATTAAGCTAAGAGAAGACAAAACGGTAAATGAACACTAGAACCGCCAAAGGATTCATTTTGACTAACCCTGATACTGGAGAGAGAGAGAGAGGGAGAGGGAGAGAGAGAGGGAGAGGGAGAG